CGCCTCGCGCGCTCCGCCTGGGGGCTGCGGGCCCGGGCATCTCGCCCGCTCGCTCGGAGCACCAGGCCGGGGCCTGGGTTTTTGCCTGCGTGCAGAGTGGGGTGGGCAGTGAGAAATCGCTGGAGTAGTTGTAGCAACTGGACAAACATTCCAGAGAACTGGCTGAGGCGCGAAAATCCGGGGCTTGTGTAGATTTTCTAATTAAAATCCAATAACAGGCTCAGCATTGTCATTGTCATTTCTGGAATAAATGGGAGGCACTCTTGGAAGAGAGGACACTTCCACCTCTTCCCCTCCCCTCCCCTTTCTCGTCTCACTCTCTCTCCAACTGTCACCGCCCCCATCCCTATTTGCTCAGGTGCACCCCCCCCCCGTGCCAATTCACACACATGCTCTCCAAAACCCCGGCCCTCACAAGCACTATTTGCACAGTACGGCCTCTCTTCCAAGGCACTCAAGATGTGTATTTGAATTTTAAATGGCGGAGCCTGCTCGGAGCGCTGGAAGCAGCCGGGTTCTCAAGGCCCCCTTGACTACCCCGCTTTCTCGATCCCTCTGTCGCTCTCTGTGGCTCACTGTCCGGGAGACAATAATTGGAGCCTGGGGCGGAGCGGGCCGGGGAGGGGGGTGGGGGTGGGGAAAGTCGACGTCTTCTTTGCATTCCAATCTCCAGGATCATACTTTTTGCAAATAGAGATCGGGAGTAAGAATCTTCCTGCCGGAATTACAGAGGATTTTTAATCTTCTCATCATTTTCTCCGGCATGAAGTGCGGGGCTGGCCGTTCGAACCGTGCTTTAGCTCCCGGAATGCGACCCCGACCGCCAGCGAGTTCGCGTCGTCGAGTCACACGACCCTGCTTGACACACACTACATCGTGCCCCCGAGCTCCGTGTGCGCAGAATTCTAATGAGCGGCTCTCTGGGCCCTCGGAATTCTTTTCTCCCCGGGAGAGAGCCTCGGAGCGGGATTACCGCTGCTCATTTGCGAGGAGGCCACCGGGCACCCCCGCCAGGGGGACCCCGAGGACAGGGGTGGCCTGGAGGAGGCCGTGAGCAACACGGCGGATGGCGAGCACCTGCCTACGAAGGCGCGGACCCCAGCCTCGGCTGGACCCTAGGAAGAGGCACCCCAGGCCCCTGCCGCCTCCAGTTCCCACTCCCGAAGCCAGCATGAAGAAACGCTCAGCAGAAGGTTCCTGCTGCAGAGGGCAGGATAGTGGGCCGCCTTCCCTTCCTCCTGGGAGCCTAGACTCTTCCCTCTGCTGGAAATTCAGCCCTTCTCCATCACCCCCTCCCTCACCCTTTCTCTACTGTTACAAGAAACAGTTACGTATTTATTTCCTTAACCTACAAAGTGTGTCTTGACACTTCAAAAAAGTGTTTCTCTACTAAAATATGACCTTTCAATACAGTTTTGGAGACACACAGGCAATACTAGGGGTCGGGGGGTGAGTGGGGGGAGAAACAGGTCCTCCGAAATTCACTGTTAACTGGTTTGCTGAATGCATCAGTTTATGCTGAGAGGTGGAGAGATCGTTATAAACAGCCCCCAAGTTGAGGTATTTGCGTGTGTAATGCCTTTCTTAGCTATTCCTCGCCAGCGACAGCATGTGGCGTTGCAAGCCCAGGGAAATCAACACGACACCACGAACTGGAGCTGGGGTCGTCCAGCTGCAGATGGGAGTTGCACTCGGCTTTCCCGGCCCTCACTCACAGCGCAGGGCATCCCAGCTGGGCTCTTAATAGCAACGGCTGCTTCTGGGCTTGCGGCCCTCCAGATGTTGTAAGTGGTAACTCCAGGGTTTATTACCTCCCACCAGGGCCCTCCCAAAAGGCTTAGCGAGTGAGTTAAGTTAGTTTAGAATCCACAGGCACCCAGCAGGGAGGAGAGAGGACGCGGGGCTTACGCCCAGGACAGACACTTAAACGCTTGGGTGGTGTTGGTTCTTAAACCCTAAAAAGAGAGGAAGGATCTAGGCCAGACCTCAGGAAACCGGCAAGGCTGCAGAGCTGCGTTCTCTCCCAGCGAAGTCCTAGTCTCCCCTTCCTCCCCCTCTGACCCACTCTTTCTTCCCAGTCTCCCCCACCTGCAGTGAGTTCTCCGGAAACAGGGGTGGGGTGGGGCTAAGGAAGCCACATCCCCTCTGCATCTGGGCTGCGAGAATCTCGGCCTCTGTGGAATCCCCAAAGATGAGGGGCAATTCCTGGCTTAGGGGGCATCTCAGGGAGTATGATCTCACAACAGAAACACTCTAGGCATCACCCCAATTCCCCTTCCTCCCTGTCCCTCATGCGTCCCCCCTCTCCCACGTACACACACAGTTTTTGTCTTTCCTTTGGGATCTCAGCCGTCGGGGGGCCCACAGCTGACCGTCTTGAGGGGCAGATCAGCCAGTGCTGAGGGGGCTGGTCGATATGGGGGGTGGGAGATGTGCACAAAGGCGGCTGCCGCCGCCACTCTACCTGCTTTCACTGAGCAGTGGATGTGCGCCTTGGACTCGTAGTAGACCCAGTCGAAGCCTGCCTCCACGGCCAGCCGGGCCAGCATGCCGTACTTGCTGCGGTCGCGGTCCGACGTGGTGATGTCCACCGCGCGGCCCTCGTAGTGCAGCGACTCCTCCGAGTGGTGGCCGTCCTCGTCCCAGCCCTCGGTCACCCGCAGCTTCACTCCCGGCCACTGGTTCATGACCGAGATGGCTAAGGCGTTCAATTTGTCCTTACACCTCTGTGGAGAGAAGAAAGGGAAGGAAGATCCAGGCATGGCTACGTTAGCGTCTGCCGCCTGCGCCCGTATCCTGGGTCCGGCCCTCTGCCAGCCTTAGCCGCTGGCCGACCACCGCCCCAGCCGGTAGCAAGCTTCCCAGTCGGCTAGGCCAGGCAAGGGTTGTGCAGAGAAGCGGGATGCGGGGCCTGGGAATGGGGCCCAGCCTGCTCAGAATGAAGGCACAGGGTGGGAGGAGGTGGGGTGGGAGCCGCCAGGAGGAGCTGGTCCTCTTGGGAATGAGCTGAGGGCCTTTCTCCAAATTCTGAAATGGCTAACGCTCATTTGGTGGCCTGGGAAGCAGATGAAGTTTCTTTGGAAAAAAGAATACTATTTTGGCAATGACCTCAAGAGTCCACCAGGTGCCCTCAGGCGACACCCCCACCCCCCAAAGTGTCCTCCACTTTGCCAGCTCCCTTTCTCTGGACACATTTCTCCACACCTGTGTAAGCTCCCCCTGGCTCCTGGGCTAAATCCCTCACCGGGACCCTCAGTCAGAAGTTCACAAGGAGGCCATGGAGAGGCCCAGGGTGCGACTCTGCAGGAATAAAGAAAAAAACACTGTACACTTCTTAAAGAATGAAAAGCCTGGCGTTATCTCTGGACTCTCCCTCCTACCCCCTTGACTATCTGAGGTGAAAATTAAGCCAAAGGTAAGAGAGGGAGGTGGGAAGCTGATAGCAACGCTGGAGGGGTGGGAGAGGGCCAGAGTGAAAAGCAACCAGGTGAGTTATAATTTTCAATATGGGCCAGGGCTGGGATGACAAACATTCTTTATCTGGACAACCACATTCTTTTTTCTCTGTAGAACTCTTTTCTGCCTGGGTTTTCTGTGGTCTGATTGTGTTTCTTGTTTTCTTTAACCTGTTCCCTTCCTCCCCTCTTGTTTTCTTGGCCCCAGTGTAGAATGGTGTCCTGCAAGTTTGAAGAGCAAACTTAAGAGGCGAAGGGAGGGGGCTGGGTGTGTGAGTGTGTGGATGGAGCCAGGACTTCGTGTGTGAGGGGATGGGGGATGGGGAGCAGGAGAGGAAAACATCCTCACCAGAAAGACCAGGGCACACAGAAAGGCCTGAAGCCTCACCAGCCCTTTGCCTTGGGTAGTCTTCCTGAAACAGCCACCCCCCACCCCCACCCCGCACACACGGGAAAGGAAGTTGCATGCAGGAGTAAAGACACATTGACTAGGCTTAATAAAAACTAAGGTAAAATGGGACTTGGGTTGTGGTATTTTCCCCCATAATCCTCTGGTTTATGGATTAGAATCAAATAAAGGTGTGATAAATCTAGTTGAATCGTGTTTGTGGGTGTGTGCTTAGTACTAAACTCACTCACTGGAGTTGACTGCTGCTAGGGGATTCTAAAAAGGGGGATTTGAAACAATAATGGAGGCACCCCTATGCCAGGTAGACAGAAGTGGAGACTGGAGAGAGACATTCAAGTTGACTTCTGCAAAGTGGACTGACCTCCCTAATCGCCTCCAGAACAGAAAAGCTGCACCTCCCTAAGACACCTCTTGGTTTCCCTGATGGAATAATAGCCCCTATTAAGGGCACTAACAATAGCAGTGTGTCAGAACTCTTTTTCTAAAGGGGGGGGGGGTCTTGTTAGAAGGACTGCTGTCCACTTTTAAAGAGGATGTCACATATTGTTCAACAGGAAAAGTTCTGCGTATTTGGCAGCAATAAAAAAACAAGCAGTAACACGGTTGTAGAGTTCAACATATAACAAGTGAGCAGGGGTTGAGGGTTTGGGGGCTGTTCTGGTAACAGGTCAACGCTTGCAGGTTTTTGGGCCTGCTAGTTCTTTTAGTTCTTTATATATATATATGTATATATATATAAAAGTCGAAAGGGGAGAATTTGAGTGAGGTCATCTTGAGCACTGAACGCATTTTACATGAAAATCAATCAGTAGACCGGGGTCAGTTTTAGAGCCTGAATATGAAGCCGGGGTGCGCGCAAGCGCACACTCACCAACACGCAGACAAACACCCCCCACCACCCCGAGCCTCCCTTCTGCTCCCTTCTTTGGGGGAGAGATGATGCCTTAAACGGCGTTCCACCGGGCAGGGGGACGGCGGGAGTGGGAGGAGGCCTCAATCCCACTCCCAGGCCCCTTGAGATGCGCTACTTGGAAAAGACTTGGAGGAATCTACGCGAAGACCCCCAAGCAGAGCCAGGCCGGGCGAGCGGAGGTGGCCGCGCTGGGGACCAGCCGAGGGCGAGGGGCCGGCCCGAGTGTGCCCCGGCGCACAGTCTCCCTCGCCGGCCGCCGACGTCCGGGAGGAATTCTGGCCGGCCCCAGGGCCGGGCGCGGCCTCGGCTGGCGGCTGCAGGACGCTCCTGGCTCCAGCCCGCTGGCTGGTCGGAGGCAAAGGCCGTGCAGCCCCGACCAGTTGTTCATTCACTGGGTCATGTGCCGCGAATCAGCCCGATTCTGTGCAGTCACCGTGAAGCCCAGCGGGGCCGCCTCGGCGCGGGCTTTGTGTCCGCCGAGCAAAGTTGTTCCACACGCCTCAGCTCCCCGCCACACTCCTTAATCTCCACACAAACGAGCGCGCCGAGGAGGCGCTCTGCAGTACCTGTCGCTGCAAACAGCCCGGCGGGCTTCCCCCGGTGCCCTGGCGTGGGAGGGGCCCCCACCTCAAAAAGACCCCCAGCTCCGCAACACCGCCTTTCTGTACCCCTCCAACGCACAGAGAAACCCCCTTCCATGAAAGCAGAAAACCCTCCTCAAGCTCACACACTGGCTGCCTTGCTTTGCCCGGCGGCTGCAGAGCAGGCAGGAAATGCATGTAATGTCGTTTCAGGCTAAGCCCCCGACTTCACAGCCTCCAGACCTGACCCTGGTGGGCCTCCTACCCCTCAAAGCACCCCCTCGCCACCCGCGCACCGCGACCTGGCACCCGGGGCCTGCGCCGGGAGAGTGGTCTGTCTGCGTTCCCCTCTCCCGGGTTAATATTAACCAGGAGCTCATGCGTTCAAGAACTGCTCTGAAAGTTCCACTGGGGAAGATCTTGCCATGGTTGAGGGACTTGGGCAGCAGTCACTTAGAGAGACCCAGAGACACGAGAGAGACTAGACAGAGGAGGAGAGACTCAAGACGCACACCTGAGAGCGGAGTCTAGGCGTTTATGTAAAAAAGAGGAGCCCAGCAGGCGAGCAAGTTCCCTAAGAAACCCCAGACCTTCGCGCGGCCTGGGAGGCACTTCCCTGCCTCGGAAGCCCACACGTCCCCTGCCCCTACTAGACCCGAGTTGTCCGCCTCTCCCACCCCATTCCAGTCCCCGCCCCCCTTTAACTCCTAGAATCTGCAGAAGAGGGAAATGCCTGGAGAGGGACAACCGGGCGGCACTTTCCAGCCGCCACCGCCAGCCATCCACGTTTTTAGGGTACTTTGGGGGAGTCAGTGTTGTAATTTTGGCCTGGCTCTCCCCACCCTACCCCCACCTTGGCCGCCCTTCCCCCCTCCTTTTGTGTTGGGAACGGGAATGGCCACTGCTGAAGGGAAAAAAAGTATTTGTTTTCGTTTCGTTCGTCTGAGGGAAGTTGACAGAAGGTCAGAAGTTCAAATGCTGCCAGCAAATGCGGCGGCGCGAGTGGCGAGGCGTGGGGCGGGCGCGGTCCCGGGTTCCCGGGCAGGGCGGGCGGGAGGCGCGGAGCGGGATGTACGGCTGGTTGCGGCGCCCAGGGGCCGGGA